GAGCAACAATTTCATATAGGCCTAAATGATTATTATTATTATTATTATTATTATTATTATTAATATTATTATTATTATTAATATTAGGGAGCCTCGCAAAATAAAGCAACGCGTATACCCGTCTACAATGCGTGGTTGGGGATTATATTCTCTTCGCGTTGCCGACGAGTGGTTCAAGATACTGATCAAAAATGTTGGACGATTCCGTTTGGCGAATTAGGGTTCGTTTTCCGACGTTTTTGTTCTACTTGTTTGCGTCAGTTTATCTTGTGATTTTGATGTACTGTAATTTATCGACAAGTCTCATTTCTATGGTTTGTCATAAGTTTCATTCATTATTATGAATTAATTTTAATACTATATCCTGTCATTTGTTATTGAGCTATTCTGTAAAATTTAAAACCGAAATGTCGAATACCAAGACTCGAAACCCACTGAAATTTTCTATACACTTTTATACTGTATTATAAACAGGCCAAACTCATGTTTTTGCCATGAATATTGACGGGATAAACGCAATTTAATGCCAGTATATTGCTTTTTCTAGAACTATTCATAGGAACATTCCCACGCTCTGCTGCTATGGAAATACAGACTGAATCAAAGTGTACGTGATCTTGCTGCCGGCCGAGTTATGCATAGCTCAAACCCTTTCTACGCCACCCAGTGTTATAACCAGGCCAAACTCATGTTGTTGCCATGAGAATGGAGGAATAAATTGTAGTGACAGAATAAACACAATTTAATGCCAATACCTGCTTCTTCTAGAACTATTTATAGGAACAGTCCCACGGTTCTGCTGCTATGGAAATTGACTATTAAGGGTCATTGATCTTTCTGCGGGCCGTGTTATGCATAGCCGTACCCTTTGTTACGGCGCCCAGTGTTAACGACTCGACGTTACCATGGAAAGTATAGAATAAACTAAGAAAATATCAGTCTCTGAATTTTTGTGTGCAATTAAATTTTGTATTTATTATTTTCTTTAAGTCTCATTTTCAATTATATTTTATATTTGTTATATATATTTGAAAATGGATTTGGTACGATACAAATAAATTAATTACAATAAAGACAACAAGGA